CCTGGGCAGATTTCCCTGAGCTCTGAGTGCTAAGTGAGTACTGAGCCCTTGGAAGCCCCTGTCAAAGTCCCTCCTCTTCCAACACACTCTACTAAGTGTCTGAACACTGTCCAGGCAAAGCTGGGTGCAAGGGCTCAGGTGTAATCCCAGCACTTTGGGAGGCTGAGGTGGGAGGATCGCTTGAGGCCAGGAGTTCAAGATCAGCTTGGGCAATATATTGAGACCTTGTCTCTACAAAAAAAATTAAAAATTAGCCAGCATGTAGTGCATGCCTGTAGTCCCAGCTACTTGGGATTCTGAGGCAAAGCACTGCTTGAGCCTAGGAGTTCAAGGCCCCAGTGAGCTGTGATGGTGCCACTGCACTATCTAGGGTGACAATGCTTCTCACTTCACCATTAGTACACAGACTTGCTCTGCAATTGCTCCCTGGAAGAAGAAATGACAGCATGTGTGACAGACCCCAGAATCTTTCCTGAAAATAGGTTAAAAGGGAGTCTACCCCACAAAAAACACCCCCAAATCTCCTAAGGACCTATAAGGATTTTTCCTATACATAATAAAATCATACCTAGTCTCTCTCATTTCAGGGGAAACGTTTCATCCTTATCTCTGCTGCTTGTTTTCTAAGGTAGTCAGATGTGTGCCCAAGATCACACATCTGTGCTTTGTCACCTAATCACCAAAACTATTTGATGAGATAAGAATTATTGAAAGCATTTGCACATAAGAAAATTGAGGATCAGTGAGGGAAATAACTTGCCACATAGGCTGGGCGCAGTGACTCACGCCTGTAATCCTAGCACTCTGGGAGGCTGAGGTGAACTGCCTGCCTGAGTTCACTAGTTTGAAACCAGCCTGAGCCAGAGCAAAACCTCCTCTCTAAAAATAGCCAGGCATTGTGGGGGGCACCTGTAGTCCAAGCTACTTGGGAGGCTGAGGCAAGAGAATTGCTTGTACCCAAGAGTTTGAGGATGCTGTGAGCTGTGACATTACAGCATTCTACCCAGGTGACAGTAAGACTCTGTCTCAAGGGAAAAAAAAAGAAAGAAAGAACTTGCCACAGGTTACACAGCAATTGTGAGACAAGTCAGATCAGCTGCCCAAGCCTCAGCTTCCCAAATTTCAGTCCATCATACATCACTTTCTTTTTTTTTTTAATTGTTGGGGATTCATTGAGGGTACAAAGAACCAGGTTACACTGATTGCTTTTGTTAGGTAAAGTCCCTCTTACAATTGTGTCCTCCTCCCAAGAGGTGTGTCACACACCATGACCCCCCCACACCCTCTTTCCTTCCCTCTCTCTGCTCCCCCTTTCCTCCCACCACGTATTAGGTCATCAATTGTCCTCATAACAGAATTCAGCACATTGGATTCTTGCTTCTCCATTTTTGTGATGCTTTACTAAGAAGAATACATTCCACCTCCATCCAGATTAATACAAGAGATGTAAAGCCTCCATCTTTTTTAGTGGCTGAATAGTGTTCCACGGTATACATATACCACAGCTCATTAATCCATTTCTGGATCAGTGGGCATTCAGGTTGTTTCCACAATTTGGCAATTGTAAATTTAGCTGTGATAAATAGTCTAGTGCAAATGTCCTTATGATAAAATGATTTTTTTTCTTCTAGGCAGATGCCCAGTAATAGGATTGCAGAATCAAATGGGAGGTCTAATTTAAGTTCTTTGAGGATTCCCCATACTTCCTTCCAAAAAGATTGTATTAGTTTGCATTCCCACCAGGAGTGTAAAAGTGTTCCCTCCTCTCCACATCCAAAATACCTCACCTTCCTATCAGTTCTACTATTACTTCCTCAATATTCCCCTTCAAATGGACCCACTTCTTAAAATCTTTAATCTATGTTGAAGGAGATTGTTTATCATGACTGTTAATGAAAAGCCAGAATCACTGACCATTAGTGGAAACTAACTCAATGAAAACAAAATCATGTTATTTATTTCTGACTAAAGACAGTTGCCTCTCAGGCACTGAGCTGGGTCTGCTTGCTTGCGCCCTCATCCCCCACACCCCGTCCAAATTGGAGATTCCTGATGTCAGAGAAGGTGTTAAGGACAGATTAGCACTCAATTGAGACCTTCTTCTTGAAAAAGATGTGGAAAGGAAAAGCTCTGTTGTATTTGGTGGTATTTAAGGCTGTTTTATGTGTCACCTAAAACAATCTCAGGGGCACCAGGCTGATGTCCATCTATACGAAGAGCAAGAAGATTGTTCCATTACCTTAGAATTCTGAAATTATGGCCAGGGATTCATTTGAGGGCTCACATGATCAATTCCCACTGCCATTTCAGTGCAGCCCAAAAATGAAAAATGGGTGGTTTCACTTATGAACAACCCGCCTGCCCATCCACCCACCCACCCATCCACACACCTATTTATCCACCTACCACCCATTCACCCACATAGCAAATTGATTTCCAGCAGCTACTGCGTGCCGGGCATTGTTCTAGGTAATGGAGACATAGTTTTGACCCACACACGCCTGGCCCCCACCCATTTGGAGCTTAGTGACTAGTGAAGTCACTTTCCATCCTTCAGCAACATCGTGTGCTGGATTAGAGAATTTCTCCGCATTTTTTTTAGTGATAAGGGTCATCTTGGTGCACATTTGTGGATTTTTTCCTGACCTGACTTCTCCCCGCCACCTTTATTTTTTTTTTTTTTTTTCTAGGGTAGGAATTTCTGGAAATTACAAATTTATTTTTTATTTCCTTAATTTTTTATAATGAACAAGACTTACTTTTATTATTATAAAAGCATTAAAATGTTAGGTCTTGTGTAGTCTTGAATAACCTTAAGAATTAGAAAAGCAAACCTAAGGGACTTTACTATTGTTTTTAAAAAATAGTGTATATTCCCTTTCCTTTCTAGTTTGTCAGTTTATTCAATAAGAAAGAGCTTTCCCTCTATCCATTTTTAAAAAAAAATTATCATTATGGATTCTTGAATTCTCTTTTTAAAATTAAATTTGTTATAACCTATATATTCGATATATTTTAAGAAATTCTAAGTCACTATCTTGACTTTTCCACTGAACCACAGGACCTTAGCACACTATAAGTGCTACTAGTTTTATCTTGTTTTCTTTAGCCCCACACAGTTTTATGTAGTGGTAATTTGTTTCAGTGTGCCCACATGTCCCTACATGAAACATTGTCACCATTGCCTTTATTCTCTGTTCCTTCTTGTATCTTAAATTCCTTCTTTGTGTTTCTCCTTCTTCCTAAAGTATATCCTTTACCAAAAGCCTGCTGTTAATAAACTCTGCTTCTGTTCTCTGAAAATTTCTTTACCTTACTTTCATTTTTTTAAAGTTAGGCTTGCTGGATTTTCACATAAAAATTTTTAGCCTTCCAGTGATTCAGCTGTAGTAAAACTGTAAATGTAGATGGACATTGATTGGAGAATGGGATTTAAAAAGCATGTAATTTTTTTATTTGAAATTCTCATAGTTTTGGTATATTCACACACTAAAAGTTAAAATATAAATCACATTTAACTTGTTGATTTTGTAAATTGAGTTAGGTTCAGATGTGAATGACTGAGATGGAAAGGAATGAAATTTCTGAATTCTTCTCACAAGATACCAGCCCCAGTGTCAACACTTCCCGCTATCCCTGTGAGGTCTGCATTGAGGACCCTGATTGTAGTTTAGAGTTAAGGTTCCTGTAGTTGGTGACATAAGCAACTTATTTACGATCTAAGGAAAATCCGTCACATAAAAAGAAAAAAAAATGCTTAGTGCACGTTTCATTTTGTGCAGAAGTGAGGCTTGTCCATGGAATAATCAGAAGTGGTCAGAGTAACAGCATTTATTAAAGAAAGTGATTCAGTGCTTTGCTCAAAGATTTTCAGCTGTTCTGTCCTCCAGCTCAGTAATTTGTCTTTGGTTGGATAAATGCTGGCCTCAAATTGTTGAGAGGGATGGCATGTCACTGGAGTTATTAGAAATATCTTTTTAATTTTTTTTTTTTGAGACAGAGCCTCAAGCTATCCCCCTGGGTAGAGTGCTGTGGCTTCACAGCTCACAGCAACCTCCAACTCCTGGGCTCAAGCACATCTCCTGCCTCTGCCTCTCAAGTAGCTGGGACCACAGGCACCCGCCACAATGCCTGGCTATTTTTTTGGTTGCAGCCGTCATTGTTGTTTGGCGGGCCCGGGCTGGATTCGAACCTGCCACCTTAGGTGTATGTGGCTGGCGCCTTAGCCACTTGAGCCACAGGCGCCGAGCCTAGAAATATCTTCATGTTTTATTATTATTTTAATATCCCCTCCACCTCCAGAGCCAAGGCCGCATAGGTAAGATTCGTTAGTGGACTTTCCTGTAGCGTAATTATTTTAAAGTTCACCTTTCACTAAGGTATTGCTATTTGGAGTTGTAGTTTTAAGCAGGTACCTCAATCTGATTTCTCATCTGGCCTGGGCCCCAGGATTTATCTCCTGTCATGTGTGCAGTTTTCTGATAAAGCAGCAGGCTATATTGTCAGAGATCAGCAGATGCACCCAGGAAAGGCTTTGGTTTCCTACTTACCTCTAAGGTTTGTGCTTTCCGATCATCCTAGGTCTCTTAAAAGTCGTCTTGGTTTCTTGCCAATTCAGCTGTATGTTTAAAGAGGTACTTTTATAGTATCTTGAATTTTAAGGTATTTAGTACAGAGTAGGTTTCTTAGCGTGCCAAATAGCCTCAAATTGGAATCCATCCCTTCTTAGCTTTCCATTTTGAGTGTTTCCAAAACCCCCCTTTCAATGAGAGTATTGTGGTCCTTCTAAGGGCTCCAAATGACTGTAGCGATCCATTTCTTGTGAGTTCTACCCAAACAATTGCTGTTACCACAGAAAGCCTAAAATTTCCTATGAAAGGTCTTATTTGTATTCAGTTAAGTATTGGTTTTCAGATGCTGAATCATAGTAGACACTAGCATAAATCAATTACAAATTTTTTGAGGATAAATGAATTAATGACTTTTGTGCATTTCAGATTTGGCGCAAATATGATGCTGACAGCAGTGGCTTTATATCAGCTGCTGAACTTTGTGTAAGTGTCACCAGTAACTGTCAATGGATAAAGGGTAGATTTGTTCATCATTGGGAATTTGATGTATATGTATCATGAATTTGATTTCTGTGGGCCTAAGAAACGTGGGCTCGAATTTGTTACTTAAAAAAAAGATGTATTTATGTTTAAAAGGTTTAGAAAGTGCAGGTCACATTGCCCTCTCTGGGAAGGAGACATAATTGAGCACTTATGATGCATTTTTCATGCCTGGAGCGATTCCCTGGGTTCCATGAGCTTCCTATAAATAGTGACAGCTCTCCATTCTTGGATTTATTGCTTGCTGAAAGCTTTTATTTCCTCCTTGAAACAAATGAACCACAATCCTTAAAATAAGGCATTTGGAGACATCTGCAGTTTATTTGCTCACTATGCACAACGTGACTCTTCTCTTGGTTCCACAGAACTTCCTCCGAGACCTTTTCCTCCACCATAAAAAGGCCATTCCAGAGGCCAAACTGGAAGAATACACTGGCACCATGGTAAGTAATGAGTAGTGCAGTCCCCGTGAGGGCAGCTTCTCTGCTGCCTCCCCAGGGCCCAGAAACAGTGTCCAGCACAAAGCAAGTCTCTGACAAAAGGCTGCAGACTAAATGAATGCATGAAAAACCTCAACTTTGAAAAACACTGACTAAAGCTGAATTATTTCCGCCTGTCTCTTGTGACCAGATTGCATATATTTAAAACAGAAAGCTGTTCACCATTCACCTGTCTGAGGAGACCTGGAAAAGTCTAGTCAACATTAGGTTTCCAAGCACCAGGCCAATTACCTCAAGGTTGATCAAGGCCACATAGAAACAAGTAAACAGGGACCTAGACAATCAAGGTCAAACAGGTGGAAGCTTCACCTCACCATGGTGGATGATTCCACTCATTTATTGTGTTAACTTTAGTGCAGGGAGGATTCAGTTAAATGGAGGGTGTGTGTCCCACCTCTGTCACTTACTAGCCATGATCTAGCAAAACTGACATGTTTCTTGACTTTATTTCTTCTGTGAAATGGGGATTGGTGGTACCTAATTCCTGTGAGGGCAAAGTGAGTTGTGTACAAAGCATATGAGGGCTCAATACATGTTCTTATTGCAGTAATTGTTATGGTTCTTATCATCATTTCACATTCCCTTCATGGCATCTTTGTCCCAAGTGACCTTGAGAATATTTTAATATCAAGCTCCCCGGAAAATGGAAACATAGGATAAATTGCCTTTCATGAAATCATCTTCATATTCTGTTTCAGTACCTTCCTTTATGCCTTTCTCTCAGTGCTAGTCAACAATTTGTACTAAATTGGATCTGACTCCTCTGCCTTTTGCTTTCCTCTAGTCCCTTACCATCCCCAGGTGCGTGTTTCATTCCCATCAAACTCTTACTTGGCAAGCAAAGAATTCACTAACAAAGGCTTAATTACTTGTAGGAGTATCACATTTATTATATAGAATTTTGAGCAGAATCACTACACTGAGTTGTGTAGCTGGGCGTACGTATCATTGAAAAGGGTGTGTGAGTTCCCGTTAACATATATACCATTATACCATGTATACCATGATCTAGTAGGCCTTTAATTGGTGTTTCCATGTACTGTATTATTTCTAACAACTTATCTACAGTGTTGGCATTGTTCATGCTATTTTCTATTACTTAATGACTAAGGCTTAGAAAGGGTAAGTGACTAAGTCATCACCGAGTTGAACTCTAAAATTCATCTTAAAGATCAGATAACTAAGTAAAGTTGTTACCCAGTCAAAGATACTAGTTAAATTAGAAGCTGAGCTCTCCTTGTTTTTAGCCCTAAACCTTTCTTAGCTCTCTCCTTCTGGCCTATGGCTACTCTGAATGCAGGCTCCAGTCAAGAGACTGTGCTGGAAAGGAAGAAAGTTACTTGTAAATTGACGTGGGTACTTGTAAATAGCCAGGGCAGGAGGAAAGCTGATGCCAAGGAGAGAATCAAATCCCAGGGCAGGATGTCAATTAAGGAAATAATTTGGCTTCTTACTATGTTGATTTGTTTTAATAGCATGCAAAATGATGTTTGAAATCTTGAGTAAATATGTGCTCAGCACTAAGGGGTGAGGTGGGAAATCCCCCAGAAGCGGGAAGCAGTTTCCCAGCTACAGGCAAATCTCTAGGTTCCTTGTGACCTAAGCTCCAGTGAAACCCTCTAATTGAATAAATAATATGAAAAAGGAAATTAGACTAAAAACTGCATGAAGAACAGAACAACAAGAGGTAGTTTTTCTAGTTGAGCATATTTTTAACATTGATTTAACAGAATGTTAGCCCTGGCTATCGTTATCTCAATTTTATATCACATGTTATAAAACATGAACTATTTAATGAATATATTTGCAGTTAAAGTCTTCCACAGGTTGCCAGAATGTCTCTGAATACTTTTAACTCAAAGGGGCTTTCCCCCACTTCCCACTAACCACACAAAACTACTACTTTTGTTAATATAGCACAGTTACTTTTTCCCCCTACTTTTCTTCACCCGGTTCTTGCTTATCCTTCAAGATTCAGCCAGATGTCATCTTGCCCTAAAAAGAATCTTCCCTAACCTTCTTCCACAGTGACCCCTTTTCTGCCTGTGAGCATGCCACCCTCTTAACATCATAGTCATTCATTTAATTCATTCCACAAATATTCAATAAATACCTACTATGCCCCAGGCATTATTCTAGTCACTGGAGACCCAATAGTGAGCAAAATAGACAAAGGAGAGACTGACAATAGACAATGAGTATAATAAATAATAAACTATATGGCATGAAAGAGGGTGCTGAGTGTTATGGAAAAAATGAAATAGTTGACTGGGGTGGGGATGGCAGTGCCAGCAGGGCCAGCTGGAGTAGAGGCCTGGGGAGAAGGGGTGATTTCCAAGGTGGCCCTTTTGAGAAGATGAGATGTGAGGAAGGGTACAGCAAACGCAGGGCCACTAGGACAGGAGTGCATCCAGGATTGTTAAAAACAGGGAGAGACCAGTATGGCTGGAGCAGAGTAAGCCAGGATGAGACTAAACAGGGCCTAGACCATCTGGGGATTTTAGGCCATTGTGAAGATCTGGGGTTTAGTCTGAGTGAGATGAGAAGGTCCTAGAGGCTTTGAAGCAGTGGATGTTGTGATCTGGCCACTGTGTTGAGAAGAGCTCAAAATGGGTGGGGACAGAATCAGGGCCATCGGTTAAGAAGATGTTGCTGCCCTCCAGGTCAGAGGTTGGCAGCTTTGACTCAGGGAGAAGAAGCAGGAACTAAATATGTTTTGAAGGTGAAATTGATGGGATTTCCTGATAAATCATGTGGGGGGTCAAGGATGATGCCAACATCATCTGTTTATGGGCCTCTTCCTCCTCTAGCCTGTGACCCACTCTTCAAGGGCAAGGACAGCATCTCACGTGTCCCTGCCCTCACCTGGGCCTAGCACCTATAAGTTACTTAATGCAAATTAAATTGAGCTTTCAGTCGTTACCTAGTAGCCAGCTATGATGAAATCATGACAAAATAGGGAACATTTTTCTTTATGCCCTTCCACCTCCCTTGTCTCTGTTCCTTGTGGCCCTGCTCTTGCTCTCACAGGGTGCCTGGGAGGCCACATAGTGCACATTTTAGCATTTTGCACAGACCAAACTTTCCCTCTGAAAATGCTCCTTTTCTCCCCCACCCCCATTAAACCAGACTCTTCGGGGCAGAGCCAGAAAGGGTGTGTGGTAGTGCTGAGCTCTCTCCGTTAAGGCTCTCATTGGGGTCTTTTTGCACAGAGAGAGTATTAGCCAGAAGGATTCCAATCAGGCAGTGGACATGAGCCCTGCTACCCCCAGAGGGTAGAGACAGATAGACACTGAGGGCCCAAGCTGAGGATAAGGGGTAGGAGGAGCAAGAACACAGAAACCAGCCCTGGAGTGAGGGCTGGAGCCAGAGACAGCAGGGAAGACAGAGCAGAGCAAGTTCAGAAAGCGTCACCAGAGCAGGGCAAGAGAGGGCAAGTCCTGTGGATTCAGAATTCAGATGACTCTGCTTTCCTCGAGTCGAGTCTGGTGTTCCCTTCTTCTGGACTGAAGGGAGTATCTGAACGTGACTCAGAGCATTCCTTCCACCACCAAAGCACTCACTCTCTTAATGCTTTTCTCTTTGGTTAGAATATAATCTGATAAATTAATGCATACAAAGATGTGAATTCAGTCATTTGACAAATATTTAGGAGAACCTACCAAGGAAGATATGATCCCTTCCCTTAGGAAGCCTCCTAATGGAGGAAATCTGTAAGGGGGAAAAGAAGCAAGAGTTCCTGCTGGTCCCTCCTTCCATCCCCCCAGGTGCTGCCACCAGGCCTCACTCTGTAGTAGAAGTTGAGATCAGTTTTTCCTCAATCCTTAAATCTAGCAATCTTACTCTGAGACCCAACTGAAATATTTTTGAAAAGTTTTCTTGATTTTTCAAAAATAAGATGCAATAGGGGCTCTGTCGGTTACAATGACACAGCAATTCTTTAGCCTCAGGAAAGGCCAAACAAGAAAAGGTAGGGGGACATGATCAAATTTAAATTGTTGTGAAATGTCTTCTCTATTGAAGACCTGTGGGATTTTATTTTCACTGAAGGATAGCCAGCGCTTACTCTAGAATTGAGCATGTTAATCATGTTTAAGCATGTTTACGTTAGCCCAGTCTGAAGCATTTTATAAACATCTCATGTGATTCTCACAAAAACCTTATGAAGTAGGTGTTTTCTAAATGAAAAAAAAAAACACAAAAAGAAGAATTACAGGTTTTGGCCAAATACAGATCAGCCATAAAGTTCCTGTGGAATTTAAAATAGACAACTATTTTAGACATGAATGTTATGATTGAAAAACAGGCTTTGGACACATTTGGGTCTGAATTTCCACTTTACCTCTTGTCCTACAGGGTGGCCATGAAGTTTGTATAGAATTTGAAATAGCTCCCTATTTTAAATAGTTGTCTATTTTAAACTCCACATGAACTTTATGGCCACCCTGTATGACAAGAGGTATAGAGGAAATTCAGACCCAAATCTGTCCAAAGACTGTTTCATTCATAGCATTCATGTCTGTCTGAATGTTAAATTATTAAAAAGAAACTTTCCAAAGGTGGGAGTAAAGCTCTCCTGAGAGATTGGGAAGAGTAAACAATCCTGTGAAGAAAGTGAAGAGCAAGGTAAGGACAAAGCCATGGAAGCAAGTTTGGATTCTTAGAATGTTTCTGAAGATAAGATCATCTGAGAACCCTGACAGCACAACAGGATTGACTACCAAGAGAAACTGATTTTCCCCAACAAGCCCCTAAATAATCCTAAGAATCGACACCTTATTAAACACCAAGCAGGAAGCAAATTAAGAAAAGACAATGGGAAATAGGAAAGAGTTCCACAAAACTGTTCTGGGGAGAGAGGAACACTGATTAAATTGGGCAAGAGTGAAGAGGGAAAAAAGTGGATTGGGGATACACAAAGCCCTAGGGGTCCCCTCATTCAA